CTTCGTGTTGTCGATTACGTATGACTATGCATCATGTATTCAGCAAATACACAGCAACTAGTTGAAAACTTCAGCTCAGCATTAAGTTACATGATTTTGCAAAACATGCTTGGCTATCAGGGTGTGTATACCTGTGCTGTCAAATTGCCTTTAATGAAGAAAGGGCCAACTGGTCTTACCATTAAGAATACCATACGTTAACTTTTTGTGGATATTGGGTATGATTTTCTCTTTTCCAGTGAGGATTAACGTCACTTCAGTACCTACAATTGTGTCTATCTACATTTCTAGTCAGTTCAAATGTTGCCTCATCAGAAAAACAATATTATTAAGTAATAGAGGATCGTCGACAATCATCTTCATCATAAGATCACAAAATTCGATGCCTCTATCAAAATCGTCTTCGGACAACTCTTGGCACAAATGGAGTTTGTATGGATGCGATTTATTCAATTTCAAAATTTTACTGACAGATGCATGACCGATTTCGTGTTCTTGTGCAACGCGATTGATGGAAATATGGGGATTTTCAACAAAAGACTGTAAAAAATCTAATGCCTTATCATTATTTGTTGCTGTTTTACGTCTACCAGATCTTGAGCGGCTTTTAACGCCACCAATGTCCTCGAAATGTTGAATAGTACGAATTACAGTACTTTTAGAGATCCTATTATTTTCATTCCGAAAATTTTCGCGAAAAAATCGCGTTACTGTTTAATACCCTCTTTGTTGATCTCCCCATCCTCGCATCATTAACAGTGTTATTCGATCTTTTTCAGAAAGCTCCGCCATTCTTAATTAGAGCAAAGAAGAATTAATCAGGTAAGTAATAGGAAATTGATCTAAATAATTAAGTAGAGAAAAATACTAATTATTAAGTGTTGGTCCAACTATTCATTTGTTTATTTCAACCAGCACTAGCAAAAAGCTCGTTGAGCAACTGAAAATCTAATAGATCAATTAATAATATTTATGAAAAATTTCTGGGCTATTGGAAACAAAATGAAGATGTTTTAGACAATTAATTGAAGCGCAATGGCTTCTTTTAGTACAGAAAAAATTTTTGGGGCTGTTTGTTTTCGTCCACGAGGTAACTGCTGCTCGCTAAGAAGAAAACAGCACTGCATCAAAGATTAAAATCAGTGATCCGTATTGTTTGCTCAAGAGCTCGTACATTGGTGTCTGCGAGAGTGAGAGAATAAAGATCGACCCCGCCAACGCTTTCGGGCAGATTCCCGCTAACACCTTCGGACATCACGCATTCGAGCAACTTCTCGCGATCACCTTCGGGCAGTTTTCCGCCGTAGCCTACTAGCATAACCGCTTGAAACTGTACAACTTTGCTATTGGACATTTTTCCAAAATGCATTCTTACTGAAAATATTAGGAGAATCCGACACTTTTTGATTAATGTATTTTCTTTAAACCAATTAATTGGTCTCATTATTCCGCGCACAAAAGTATTAAGGTTATGATTATTAAAAAGTAAATAATATTTTACAAGATATTTTACATTTTGTGTCAAAAAATTGTTAACTTCAAACCTTTATAACTCAAAAAGTACTTAATGAAAAAATATTTTATTATAGTGTCTTGGAAAGCTCTCAATATAAGCTATAAAAATATGCAATAAAATGTAGGGGGTTTTGTTTAAAAAAATAAGGTTGACCTTGAAATGACCTTAAAGGACATGGTCAAGATCAAAGTCGAGGTCATCATCTTACTCCTCGCTTGAAACCATACAACTTTGCTATTGGACATTTTCTCCAAAATGCATTCTAACTGAAGATATTAGGGGGGTCCGATACTTTTCGATGATCCTGTATATATTGGGTTAGTGGAAAAGTTCTGTGAATTTTTTAATAGATGACATTAGTGTCAGAAAATAATTATAGCGTGTCGTTCAAATGTCAGTCTGCCGCACATATTTTGACAAGTCACACTACGCTTGACATTTGGCAGAAGTGTTTGTTTTGGTCGGACGTGTTTTGCGTGTACGGCATACAACTAAAATGGAAGATTAAAAATTGCATTTTTGCCATATTTTGCTGTTTTTATTTTGTAAAGGATATAAAGCGGCGGACACTAAGCGCGAAATATGCGCCATATATGGTGCCTCGGCCTTAAGCACAGACACATACGAAAGATGGTTTGCTCGCTTTCGTTCCGGAGAAGTTAACCAAGATGCACCATGCTCTGAACGGTCAAATTCTGTTGACGACGATCAACTCCTGGCTACTACTTCTAGTGAAGAGTGATCGACATTTAACGACTCGAGAGATTGCGAAGCGTTTCGGCATTCATCATACAATTGTTATGGATCGATTAAAAAAGCTTGGCATGGTGAAAAAGCTTGATGTATGGGTGCCGCACGAATTGAGCGAAAAGAACATCATGGATCGGATTTTAGTGTGTGAATCTCTCCTGAAACAAAACTCTCTAGACCTATTTCTGAAACGGATCATCACTGGAGACACAAAATGGGTTGTCTACAACAACATTAAGCGGCGGAAGTCGTGGTGCGGTCCGGGCGAGTCTTCACAAACGGTGGCAAAATCTAATTTGCATCCACAGAAAGTACCCAGACGGCACATGATATCATTTGATTGTAGAATGATATCGTTTCTACGTCATTTTTGTGATATCATGTGATATCACATCCCTGAAATATCACACAGATATTCTTCTAAGAATATTAGTACTGTTTTCTTTCAAGTATATCTCAAAGACATCGCTTAATGTATAGGAAATTTGAATGCAGTGTATTACACTCCCGTGATACTCTTATAATATTTTTGAAATATTTATTGATGATATCACAAATCTTCGCACAATATATTTTGCGCGAGATATGAAAATCAATTCTCAAGTTGCAATGTATACATTGCACTGCAATATTTTTATTAAATAACAATTAAAATAAATAATAAACAAAATGTGTACAATAGCTCAAGAATAAGTAGATAAAAACAATTATAATTTAGTAAGAAGCAAGTAGTCTCGCGGACTGAGTGCAGGGACTGCGGATATGGGCTTGCGGAGGTCTCGAGTTCAAATCTCACTAATCACCTTAGGATTTTTCAAGTCCGGTCCTTTCAATGGAGTTCATCGGTTGATTGGCGAGCTGTATCAGGCTTTCAAAAACTAATTCGAGTGAAATCTCGAAATTCCCCTCATTTTTAAAACTTTTGCAAGAGATATCATTTGCATATTTTTGATGTGGACATTAGCAGTCTCAGGCATATCCCTGAGATATTATTTGAACATCATTACTCGTTCGAAAATGTCTCAACGAGATATCCTTTGCACATTCAAAGTCTCTGTGAGATATCTTCAAGACATCTTAAATACATCATTGTGCCGTCTGGGTAATGCTATGTATTTGGTGGGACTATAAAGGAGTGCTGTGGTTCGAGCTGCTCCCGCAGGGCCAAACAATAGATTCGAAGAAATACTGCGCTCAGCTCGACAAATTGCGCAAGGTAGTGCAAGAGAAGCGGCCAGAATTGTCGAATAGAAAAGGTGCGATTTTCCATCATGACAACGCTCGATCACATACTTCTTTGATCACAAAAAAAAAATTTCAAAGCTTTGGCTGGGAAATGATGCAGCACTCACCATATTTCGTCACTCCCTACGTATAATCCCGTAACTCCAAAACGCAAATTTTAGAGGAGAGCAGTTTAAAAGTTTGAAGCTTCATATAGTTTCCCTAGTTAAGGGATCTTTCGGCTTTAAATTTTTACCTTATTTATGAATATTTTTTTTTAATACTTGGTGACCACAAAGAACATGACTTCTGAGTGTCACTATGCAATAAACTGAAAATCCCATATGTGACACTTACACGGAAAAAAAAGATTTGCTAAAGTAGCAAGAAATTAGTTACTATATGGCCAGCAAAAAAACATTTGTTAAGTTTATTAAAAGTTTTGTTTTGCCAACAAAACATTTCGTTGATGAAACAAAAAATTTCGTAGAGTCAACCATTTTTCTTGCTAACCATATAATAGCAAAACTTTTTTTTTCCGTGTATGTAATTATACGTAGGGAGTGACGATTTGCCGGACCTTGCACCGTCTGATTATCACTTGTTTTACTCGCTGCAAAACAATGTTGACGGTCATCAATTCGACTCAATGGAGGCCATCCGAAATCACCTCGTTGATTTTTTCGCCCACAGGTCCCAAGAGTTTTACGAGAGCGGCATCAAGGCCCTACCGAAACGTTGGCAAGAAGTTGTAGATCAAGACGGTCAACACATTGTGGACTAAATTAATTTTTATAAATGTCAATTTTGTGTTTAAATTTTATACTAAAAATCCGCAGAACTTTTCCACCAACCCAATATATTATTCAGTATTGAAAAATATTCTTTAAAATTTCTATGTACCAATAATAGCGCTGGAAATTTCACAGTCTTTGAGGGCACGTTTCTTTTTTTGTCTCGTCCATGTGTAAACTTGCGCCATCTCATGCCCAATACATTCGGACATGATGTTTCTCACTATTTTAGTAGGATTTTCTTCTCCAATCTTTAACATTTTCTGAATCTGCTATATATATACTTTGAATGAGTTTTAAATTGTACCCGGTAATTATTGACTTCAGAAGAGTCAGCTCTAATGACCTTGACTTTGATACATGTCGTCAAGGACACTCTCTTGAGTAACCTTTAAAAAAGGTTTTAGATGATTATAAAATAGTCTTTTTTGGTTACATAATAAAGCATTTCTTAATATTGAATGAATGAAATAGCTCAAAAGTCGGCTACAATGTTATTTTAGTATAAAATATTATTACAATAAAAATACTAAAACTTCCCTTCCTCACCCGGCCAATTGGAGAAAGTTTTAAAAAATAGTTCTGTGTCCTTTAATGATTTGCAAATAATAGAACACGTACGAATTGTTGTCGTACGTCGATACTTTTCAACTGTTTATTAAAATCTTTTAATTGTTCCATTGTTGTTAATGGAAATTCTGGCAATAAGCTAAAATCATCATTTTGTATAGGTGGATTTGCTTCTGCTCGGCCGGGATTTTCTAGAAATTGTGCAATAAAATTCAGCTTTCGCTCAATTACTGCAAATTTTTGCATCACTTCTCGCCGGCAAGCATCTATATATAAACCAATTATTCAATCCATAATCGAAAAAAGCGATTCTGTATTATCAGGTATAAAATAAAATGCAACAAAAATTACCACAATAAGATTTGTGATTTCCAGTAGGATCACGACGTTTACTAAGTTCACCACGAGTACCACCTGGTTCGCAATTATCGCAAGAGTCATTTATAAATTAAATTCGTCGCTGACTGCATTTATTGGACATTATTTGGCTCAGCTGTTAAATATCGTTACGAGTGAAATACAGTAAGAGCATTAAATAGATGTTGCCGATTTGCTGGACACTTTGTATATTATACATATTACGTGATTGAAATTGCCAACATACTTTTTGATTTTCTCTCATTCTTTGCTTGTGGATAGTAGTTATTTTCCAGCGTTTCTTCCAACGTTTCTTCTAGTGTTTCTTCTGACGTTTCTAAAAAAAAAAATGTAATATATCTTAAAATAGTCGAGTACTTTTCTAATTGCAGTGTGATTAATAATAAATAAAAAAAACTAAAATATTTATATTTATTTACAAATATTAATATATATATAAGATTGATTTTTCGTACAATTATTGTATTGCATTTCATAAGTAATGTACCTTTTTTCTGTTCTATATTTGAAGTAGTCATACTTTCCAATCGTTCTGATTTATTATCTTCTGGATCATCCGTCAAAATCTAAAACATTTTATTGAAATTGGATTGTTGACGTGTCCTGTTGTTTGATCCGCATGCATATTAATAATAGTTAGTAAGAATTCAAATGTACTTACGTAGAATATTGTACGTTATGTATAGACAGGGACAGAAATGCTTTCTCATGAACTTATCTACATAGCGATATTTAGATATTTTGCATATACATATATGGAAAATGCATATGTTTCAATATGTACATAAATTCATGTGAGAAGACATTTCCATCTCTGTCATTATATAAAAGACTAACCTGGTTTCTTGTCAAAAACATCGATTGGCTTATTTGTTGGCTTTGCGATTTGAAAGAAGGCTCACTTTCCACTTGCAATACATAATTGGACGATATTGAAAATATGGTGCTTTTTTTTCTATTACCTAAAAGTTTATAAATTATTGTATTAATATAAGAGTCGAGCAAATTTATTTCTTCTATGACGTAAATACCTTCGGTAATTTGCAGTTTAGCGCCTTTTCTCAATTTTGGCTATTTTAACTTGGTTTTTTTTTTAAACGCTTTGTTTGGTCAGTGTAATGAGGAATCAGTCGGGGAAGCTTGAAAAAATTATGTATTTTTACCCCTTTTTTTACAAAAGAACGTGAATCATGCGGTTTTTTTTCTTTGTCAACCTGTACATTTTTTTTCGTGTTGTAAGCGTGTAGGCAGGGGGGCTGCGCCCCCCCGCAGGGGAGAGGGGCTTTGCCCCTCTCCCCCGCTCCTCTTCGAGGAAAAATAGGAAATAGGACATGTCGCTTTATGTCAATAGTATGTACGTGATTTTTTAGCGACACTTAATCAGAAGTCGTTTTCTATTTTTTCTTGAGGGGGAAGCAGGGGGGAGGGGCAAAGCCTTTCCACCTGCGGGGGAGCGCAGCCCCCCTCTGCCTACACGCTTACAACACGAAGTAAAAAAAAAAAAATGCAAATCAATTGTTGATAAGTACGGACGAAAGTTCCATCGTTTTCAATAATTGGTGGCTCTAAATGAGCCGATTGTGTTTTAAGAAACAATGAATTGCTAGGATGCTTCTACTCTGCAGTGGATTCCGTAATATCTTGAAGTTTCATATGTTGTATGGCTACAAAAATGGCATGAATTCTGTCAACATGGTTTAGAAATTTCCGTTTAAATAAAAATTCAGCAATGTAGCTATCCATATGCTACAACAAATATTTCTCGGAAACTAAGTCCAAACAGTGGTTATAATTCGTCACTCCCTACGTATAATTACATAAGTGTCACATATGGGATTTTCAGTTTATTGCATAGTGACACTCAGAAAGTCATGTTTTTTGTGGTCACCAAGTATTAAAAAAAATATTCATAAGTATGGTAAAAATTTAAAACCGAAAGATCCCTTAACTAGGGAAACTATATGAAGCTTCAAACTTTTAAACTGCTCTCCTCTAAAATTTGCGTTTTGGAGTTATGGGATTATACGTAGGGAGTGACGATATGTAAAGGAAAAAGTTTTTCAAAATCTTGTCTTCTACAACATATTAAAAAATCATCGAGATCAAAAGACTTGTTACATATAATTAAGATTTTCCGAGTTTCACATTTTTTTTTTAAAAAAGGAGGAAGTACATAATTTTTTCGAGCTCCCCCGACTGATTCCTCATTACACTGACTAAAGAAAGCGTTTAAAGAAAAAACCGAGTTACAATATTCAAAATTGAGAAAAGGCGCTAAACTGCATAATTACTCTAAAGACATCTAAAACAGTTTTTATTAAAACGGTTTTACCAGCACATGTAAACGTAGTCAATGGTTTTGTAAATAGTGTATTAATTTTTATATATTTGTATTTATTTATATTTTTATTGAAACATTGTTTTATACTATAACATGTAGAATTATTTCAATTATTTTAATTATTATTATTTTTTATGCTAAAAAACGTATATATAAACATTTATTACAATATTGAACAAAACAAATGTTTTACATTGTTTTTGACGGAAGAAACCACCACCTTCTCGCGGTTTCCGTTGAGCAACAATGTGTATGTAGTTCATTTCTAAAACTTAAATACAATAAAATTCTTATTGCAAAAATACTTTGTTTCTTTTAATGTATATTATATGTAATTGCGAGTGCAAAGTATAAAGTATATTGACAGAATATTTTTTACATAACAAACAACATTAAAATATATTTTTATCTTTATGTATTTTATAGTAACAATAATTTTGCTAATTATATAATTAAGTATACTTTTCTTTTTTTTGTTTAAGGAGGTTCAGTGGTATCCTGCAGGGGGGTGAGGTGCGAAGGAGGATTCCTATCTTTTAACATTGAAAGATGTCAGAGATACCAACCTAAGATAAATTATTTTTAATGTTTTTAACATTATTGCTAGCACAGATATTTCGCGAAATAATAACAAAAATAAAATAAAAATAATTTCTAAACATATATATGACTATTCCTCCAAAGCTATTGCGATTCCAAAAGTAGGATCCAATCACAAGCGATGATCACTCAACAATTGAGTTGTCTGAACGNACCCAATGAAGTTAGTCGTCAAACATGTGTGTGTATATATATATATATATGAATTGCGCTGTTGTCACGTCTTCTTGATATCTATCACGTCTTCTGCTCGAAAAAGTGTAGTATACTGTAGAAATTTAGAGTTCAATGATAATTACTTTACTAAATGATCGGTAAAGTACCTTAAAACAAATACGAAATTATTCTTTGAGTATTTAACAATTAATACGTGTGTTTTGTTTTTGCATCTTTGCATTTTTCTTATACTATTTTCACCGAAATAACGTCCACATATGCTGCTTCCCATAAAAGCACTAGTTAATAACTTGAACTTCACAGCTTTATTTCTTAAGAAAATATTCGATAACAAATATTGAAAAACTTTAGGCAAACTTCTAAATCTCTAATTAATCACATTTCTAAATTTCGTTGCAATCTCTGCATTTTTTTGTAACCATTGAACCTCCTTAAAACAAAAAGACGTACATATTGGTCAAGAGTGGATTTATATTCTTCACTTTTCATTTATGCTCCTCATATGTTTCATTTTTCTAATTATTCTTTTAGGGTGTTAATATTTTTTTATTTAATCGAAATGTTCTGTAAGTAAAGAAGTGCAAGAACGAGAACAAACGGCGAAACATGATAAACAGCTGCTAGCGCGAGGCTTAGCCGCTCACGCTAGTCGCGTACGCTATAGCCCCTTGCACAATGGAAGGAATAGCGATAGCGATAGAAATAACAGTTTTTAACAGAGAATTCCAACTCGTTGGAAATTTTATCGCTATTGCTTATTCCGATTTTCTGATCTGCATTGATACATGTGTAGTTTTGTATGTTAGATTCCGCTGTTCCCACCTTTATTTTTAAATATAAACTCTTTAAAACTTTTGTTATTTCTATCGCTATCGCTATTCCGTCCATTGTGCAAGGGGCTTATAGGTATATCGAAAGAAAGAGACATAAACATATCTCTGTTCTCTTCTACCGCCCGAAGACGGCCAAAACGTCGAGCGCAAACGTACACGGCTGCTCGCCTGTGTGCGTATCCCCTCCACTTGCTGCAACGTGCTGTAAGGCTGGATCCTCATACAGACACCGGCGCTTTGACACCGAGCGTTGATTGGTGAAAAGTGGGTAGTGGGAGTAAACGGCGCTAAAACACCGGAG